TTGCAGTGATTCCTGCTCAAGTGTGGCCACACAAAAGCATTGAGCCGTGAGTTGTAACCACTATACATCCATATAACATAAAGGGCAGTTTCAGAACATTACATAGCATTATGTAGAACAGCTTTAACAACCAGTAACTTCTGTTTACTTTAGAGGCCATTTCAGACCAGATGTAAAATTTCTTATTAATCCAAAGTATGCTTTGTTGGGATCAGAAACTGGAGAAATACGTGCACACAGAAATCTGTGAACAAAGCACAAGCTGAAATTAATGACAGCTCTATAGCAGTGACTTCAAAGTCATTTATTAACTGTCTTTATGCTTCTGCAATTATTCCAAAGAATCATCATCACTTAAATGACAGGAGTGTAATGTAATTTACCTGAGACCAAAGTTCAGCTTTCATTTTTTCAATGCACTCTTGTATCTCTGCCTCCTTCTTTTTATGTTGTTCTTTTTGAAGGTTTGCTCCAATCTCTGTACGATCAACACAAGCGGATCATGTGCAACAGCCAACCAGAATGCAGAACCCCATGCTTCTCTCCCAACCCCTTTCCTTGGCTCTGCAGCTTAATTAAAAATCAAAAGGCTAAAAACCACACACCCTCATTTCACATACAGGAAAACACAATTATTATTGCTTGTGCAGTTCCAGAAATGTAATAGGAAGCTGCTGAAGCCAACTCTCACCCTTCTAGGCAAGGCTGCACAACAGGAGAGCATCATGGGTGTCCCTCCTGTCTCCTTGTCTTGACGGTCATTCACACAGCACAAGCAATAAATCAGTCTTGAGCTTTCTTGGGAATGATTCACCTGTTTCTGTCTGCGACCGAACTGAGTATGTCAACACAGGGCTGCAGCTTTGTGTTCTGAGACATGCACGGCACCCACCCTGCTGCTGGGGCTCTCAGTACACAGATAATCTTGCTATTGTTCAAAAAAGAAACCAAGCACACCCCTCTTCACAACACACATTAATTAAGATGCACAATGTGATTTCTACAAAACTTTACACAGCTGATCATAAACCTCTATGACAATTAGGCATAGCTGTCCTTCGTCATTGAGGTTATGATTGTGGTATGCCCGAAAAAAATCAAACCTCAAGAGGCTCTACAGAGCCTCAAACTAAGGTCAGCAGCCAGAATCAGGTGTAAGAAGGTAGGATTCAGGATGAAACATCCCAGCTGTATAAGATGATCTTTGCAAATGTTAAGTCAAGCACAGTTCTTCCCAAACTGCTTGAGCCTTAGAAAAATTCGCTAATGGTTTTACAGCTAATTATCTTTTGCACTTCATTATGCCCAAATCCGAATGCCTTCATGCACCACAGGATGGCTGACCGTGTCCCCCCTCTGAATATGCTGGATTTCTTAATATTCACAGGGTAACTGCAATTCTTTCCTACCAAGATGTGCATGCCTTCATGACTCCCAAAAACAGATGGATACAACAGCTCATGGAGTTTCCCTAAATATCAGATTGGGAGGAAAGGATTTCAGAAACAAACTTACCCAGTATATCACGATGAGTGTAATATCGTGTTCTGAAAGGCTTATACTCCCTGATCTTATCAAAAGTAGCACTGGAAGGTGGTGGTGGTACTATTTTTGAACATACAGCACAACAAACAAAGGAATCCAGATCAGGACTTCTAATCATTGTGGTATTCTAGTAGTTTTCTGTAATACAGTTACTAAAATGTCAGAACTCTATTCCTGATAGATCTCTTGCCTGCAGAAAGCTGATGAAGAGAAAAAAAATCATTGACCATTACTTTGTACCAAGTTAGCTGAAATGTTTGGCTTCAGATTAGGATTCACGTGTGCCGACAACTTGGTAACATGCTGCAAGCAGATGATGAGGGAGGGCTGTATGTAGTGACCCCTTACAGCCTTAATACAGCTCCCTACGTAGCAACTGTCACTAGGCGGGGCTGGCTTTGCTCACAAAGAACTAACTATCCCTGGTAATAGTTATGGAGCATCACAGCAGGCTTTGGCTTTTTAATGCTTTTTTTTTTGTTGTTGTCAAATGTCAACAAGTCCTATTCAAACCATGTAGTCTAAGGAAATTTTAGGAGCAGTACAACAGCTACTGTTTCAGATATTTGAATCATAGTATTTTGTTCCTGCTCTTGGTGAAAGCTAGCACAGACAATAAGGAATTGGCAAAAACCTGAAAGAGCCTCTGCTGGGGAGATAATTTTGACTCAGTTCCTGTCAAGCCAGCTATCATCCCTTGTAGATAACTGCTACTAGATTGAAGATGAGATTGAGAAAAACGGAACAAAATAAGTTGTATTAGTGCTTTTGCTTATCCTCCAGACACCTAAGCAGAGCAGTGCTTTCAGAGTTGAGCCAACAAATTTTGCTACAAATGTAGTTGTGTTTGGGTGGGTTTTTTTTTCCTTTTAATCCCTATATGCACATAGTTTTAATGTCTATAAATCAGGTACTTAAACCAGCAAATGCCAGTACTATAACACCCATTAATTTAGTACATTCTTCACTGTATTTGCACTGCTTTATCTCCTTTTTATAGACATTTTTTTGTAGCATTAAGAGAGTTAATCTGTATAGCAGTTACCACAAATAAATATGGAGAGGCTCCTTAAAAATAAGGTCAAGTCTAAATACTCTTCCTTCAGCCTGGGCAGCTCTAAATTAACCTGGTTAACAGGACCTTACTCCATGCAACAGGTAAGAGGCCCCATCTCAGACAGCTTTTCTAGGAAGTGCACATTGCCTAGACCCTGCCCAGGTCAGTCCCACACCTTTCTCTTTCACCACCCCACCCCGCTTCCTTTTCCCCCAGTGACTTCCAGATCCATATTCACTTCACAAAACATAACTCAAAATTTTAAGAACCCAAACCCTGCATTATTCCTAAATATGTGAAAATGAGAGACTGGGCTTTCTCACTTTGAATCATCTGCAGGTAAAAGGATCCAAGTGTACATTTTAAAAGCCTGCAGAAAAACAATTTAAATGCTTACAGTGCTTACAGCACTGTTTTTGGAATAATTTAGCTAAATTCATGCAAACACACAAGAGTAATGCATTTTAATGAACTGAAGAGAGCTAAAATACTGTGTGATCCTTTTTAAAATAATATATTAATTCTAAAGATCCATCACATCCTATCGAACAAAACATATTTTACAGGATAAACACAGCATGTACTAGTTCTGAATATCTGATCAATTCACTTGGAAATTCCTTCACCAATCAAAAGGCAAGCAGTTTCCTCACCTGCAAGCTTTTGGATTTGCCCAAGACCTTGCTGTTGCAAGGCAGCCAGGCTCACAGAGGGGAATATACTTTTAAAGATTGTAAAAATGCTATTGTTTTATAGCTTTGTCAAAGACAGAGCTCACTTTTGCTTCTCAGGAAGGAGGCAGCCAAACCAAGGCCCAGCTGAACTTAGGCCACAGATAACTAAAAAACACCAGCAGAAGGAAAATCACAGGTTCAAAGAGAAGCATTTAGAGGGAGATACAGAGAAAACTCACAGAGCAACTGCTGTCACTCAAGGCAACCACTCACCTTTTCTTATCTTCAATAATAAAAGCCAAAGCAATTTCCAGAGTGGCAAAGCAGACAGATGTCCCTGCATGTTCTTTCTTCTTTGGCCTGACAGAAGCCACCTTGGTCAAAAGGGGGTTAACAAAGAGGTTTCTCAGCTTCTTGGGAGTCCTTGATGGGGCTGTAAATATGAGACGCTGAATGGAAAAATGCGACCAGAATATTGACAAAGAGCCTGTGGTGGAAAAGGGGCACAGCCTGGTATGTGCCCTCCAACCACGTGTTCTGGAGGCTGACTCATGGGATACTGTCTAGGAAATGTCGACATGCAGAAGTAGCTGGGGAAGCTTGTAGAAGGCCTCAGTGCTGGAACAGGAAAGCACCCCCCTGAACATTTTGCTCGAGGCACAGGCTCACGTAGACCACCTCATGTGCTAAGGAAACACCACAATGCCCGTCTGCCCTCCAGCCACACTCACAGCAGCACCCACCAGCATCCGGCCGAGGGGTCACCTCCAACACACATGCGGGGCTGCTCGGCAAGACTGGGCTTGTTCAGGTCAATAGTTTCTTTTCTTTGTGTCTGTTGCCAATTTTACACTTTTCATGCATTATTTTGAGTTCAGTAACCTATAATACATTGAAGTTATGCAATGTACTTTGCAATATAGAGAAATTTAATTTTTGAATGCAGCTTAAATATACTAGTCCTTCTGACTAGTCAAGAACACCACACAAGCTCTGGCCAACTGGAGTTACACATATCGATTGGGAAGCTGATACTGGTATGTTCACTGATCTGCTGTCTGATGCCATACAGGAGAGGTAATGGAGACAATTTTTTCCTGCCCTTCTCTTGGCAGAAGCACGCACTTCACTTTTTTGCCTCTATCTAGGTACTAATTTTTTTTTTCATTTCTATGGAAGAGTATATTAGCAGCCAAGGATTATTTTGGTCAGTATTTTACAAATTCCTTTATTAAATAAAACCCTTCAATGACTGCTTTATCAGCTCTTTCTTGCCTTAATATTATTTTACTTGTGCTGTTGTTAATTATCAGCTTTCAACACATCAGACCAACTTTTCCTTATCACACACAATATATTATACTTCCTGTTTAAAAAATAAAAAAGACAAACCCCTGTTTTCATTAATCAAAGCAAAGAGAGAAATGAGCTGAACTATCATGTAAATTTCCAAGGCATTTACCAGTCTTAACTGCATGTCCAAGGTAATTTCATATCTTCTGACATACTGTGGAGACTGCAGACAACAAATCTTAAAATCACTTTTATGTTCACATGTATCTTAACTGCAATTTATTTGTACAGGCATGGCATTTTATAAAGGAACTTAAATTGGATTAAATAGCAAGAGAGACATTTATCCATTATTTCGATGGACAGAGAAAAAAATAGTAGTTGCCTTGAAAAATTCTGTAACTGATTTGCTGATTTATTTCCTTACATTCTCAGTCCCACTTGGAAGTTTTCCTCCTCATATACCTGGAGCCCTCACTGTCGATTGCTTCATAAAGGTCCTTTTTATTCTCTACTGTTGCATGCAAATAACCAATGTAGGCCACACAGAGGGTAATTGCTACGAGTCCAAATGCCATCACAGGTTTGTTCTGACAAGAAAAAAAAAAAAAAGAGCATGTGTTTTTAGTCAAACATCTTTCATTCAACAAAAACATTAATTCTTCTATCTTAGCTTAGAAAATGAACATCTGCAAAAATCACCACTGCCTTCTTGCAGACTGATCCAAATAACTTTAATAAGCAGCAAGAAAGGAGCCATGATCTTCTGATAGCAAGAGGAATTCCCTATGAAAAAGAGGACTCTGGAGACAGAACATTGCATTGCCTACTGCTCTTTTTTTTGCTGGTTGCAAATCCTGCTTGAGCATGGATGAGCTGGCCAAAACCAATTACTAAAGGTAACTATCACAAACTTCTAACAGAATTCATCCAGATATGCTACTGGGACAATGTATCCTGCTCCTGCCAAGCAACCTTGATTATATTCCTCTAAAACAGATCATGTATTATCATCACAACATCTGTTTTTATTATATGCACAAAATTTCATACAGTCTTGCTGGGTTCTGCTAGTGTATATAAAACTCAAGTATGATCAACTTAATTATAAAAGCAAGAAAAATCAAAAATACTGAAAAGTACCAAAACTCTCCTCTTTTCGCGTCAAAAAGCCTGCATCCTATTTGTTCCCTTTTAAATATTAAAGAGGACCCCTATTGTTTCACCTGCCAAATTAAATGGATATTATGCCTGCAAACAGTCTTTTCTGACAGCAGCTTGGCTAGGTACAAAAGAATCAGACAATATAACCGTGAAATAAAAGCTGGAATAAACAATTAAATGTTCTGGGCTCTTAAAAATCAGAGTGGAAAAAAAAGCAAAAATATTTTTAGTTACATTACTGGGTTGTTTGCATAACAAGAGACGGTTATATAATGCACACAAAATTACAATTATTGCTTTACAGCAACTGCATCTCTCCAAGCATATTTAGTTTCTCTGACAATGAGACTCTTACAGGTTTAATGAAAAGCTCTGGGTTCACAGCTCGGAAGAGATTGAACACTCCTCAGTCCTGGTTTTCTCTCTTTGAGTGTTTCATTTTCATTTGGAGGTTTGGTAGAAGACATTTTAACTAATGTTGAATACTTCCTAAAAACAGAATGAGAAATAAGTGTCATTTTTATGAAAAATTGAAAGAACTACATTGACTGTATAAGAGTTCACAGTCAGATTGTCTCCTTAAAGCATGAATTTTAGTTTGTGTATATATTAACAATTGCCTTTGGTGCTACCTAACATTCCAAGCTTAAACACACTTGATTTTCAATCTTGTCAATTTTGTGCATCCTAAAATTAACTTTTGGAGATGCACATCTTTATATAGCAAATGGAAGACTCCTGATAATGGGCTTGTGTTTTTTAACTTGCCTTTGGCTAATGCTTTAGCCACCTGTGGACCAAGTAGCAGTCTTCAAACCACTGGCGCTTTTTTTTTTTTGTTTTTAAAACCTTACATGTAACAGCACAGCCCACACCCCATAGTAGTACAGTCACTCCATCCACCCACTCCAGCAGCCCCAGGACTCAGATCTCACTTTTAGACCCAAGGGGCAGGTCACCTGCAAGATGTCACCTGAGCAAAGGTGAAAACACACCCTTGGTTAACCCTGCTTACCGAGGGGCACAGCAGACACGGTGCTAAGGACCCCCTGCCCTGCAGTTCACACAAATGGCGCACAGCCAGCGCCTCAGGGGCAGGAACCCAGCCCAGCAATCGCCCCGGGCCTCCTCCCGCAAGGCCCCGGACACCACAGGGACATCAGGGTAGCATGAAGGTCAGCTAAAGGCGACCACACGGGCACAAGGCACTGCCACTCACAGGCTGGCACACCTCCCCTCCACATGTGGAGAGCAACAAGCCCAGCAGCTCAGCCACACTTCCCCGTACCTGCCCCCAGGCAGCACAAACCGCGAGGGCAGCGACGGAAA